GAATCAGCTCGAAAATACTTTTTTATCCGTCTTAGTCACTAAAGCGCTGTGCGAACTCAGCGCGAAGTGAGCTCAGTTTTTCAACCAAGTATGTATTTTGGCACATCATGCCGCTGACTTTGGTCAACATTGCTTTCCAACAAGGATGGTACATTTGTGTTTCCCATAAACGCAACTTCACTTGAAATGCCTTCACTGAATCATGCCTATTAGTGATCAAGTGGTTTCGTCCCCGAAACCACAGCTTTAAAACGTTGTGATGAGTGGTAATGTCAGACAGAAACGCCAGCTCACATTTCCATTTTTCATCCCGCAAAACTGTGCAGTCTTTTTCCTTGCCCTCCATAAACTGACAGATTTCCTGATTCAGCTGCACGACTCTCGTGAGAACTTTTCCACGAATTAGCCACCTTATTGCAAAGGACCGTTACCTAATAAGTTCGAGTGCGGAGGCAAAAGACAATCTTAGGCAAGAACTCACAATAGAAGAACAATCGAACACACTTGCATTATAGCTCTTCCTTCAGTCAATGTTATTCCGATGCCGACTAGCGATTCGAAGGTATGAATCCGACTAATGAGAAGCCGGTGGCAACAAACGAAAGCAGCACGACGCGAGCGCGAAATTTCTGAATTTAACCAAATGGTACAAAATGGTCGATAACGGAAACGATAAAAGCAGACAAAATATAATGTAATCACAACAACTACAGAACTCCCCCCTAGAGCTTGCGCTGGTAAGCAACGCTCGATATGGCGTTCATGGAGCATATTGTACTAGGTGTTGTGTCTACACGTACACTAGTCCCCTGCACGCAGGGTCTTGAACAAGCACGACCAAAGCCCCGAACGAGGAAGCAGAACTCTACTAGTACGCAACACAAACTTCTATTCACGCCAACGGTACATACACTCAGTACATTCAAAACAACCCTGGTATTGATCGCGAACGGACGGGCATCCAATCACAAGCTGCGAAGTGCGGTCGTGGTAAGGCCCGCGCGTACGCGCTGCCACACTAGGTTGGAAGGGGGTAAAATAACACCACCTGAACGTGTGTGGATAGGATCGCTTGTTGGGGGGCACAGGGATTCCGAGGTTTGAGAATCAGTCATGTGGTTGTCATTGGGCAGCGGCCCAATCTCCGGAGGGTTGTGAGTGGTTGAGGTTGATTCTGAAGCATCCAACGTTGACTCGCCGTATGCGGGTTTAAGACGATCAATGCTCACCGACTCCTTGGATCCATTCTTATCCAGAACAAAGTATTTCGGTTTCCTCGACAAGACAATAGATCTTCATAAGGCGGTGTCAAGGGTCTTCGAACAGCATCGATTCGGATAAAGACGAATGGACAAGTGTGTAAGTCAGGATGTAGTCAAGGTGGAATCGGTTTAGTGGATCGAAAACGGTGCTTCAGGCGTTCAGCATAGGACCTAGGATTCAATTCGCCTGTGGTTCATGAGTCTAGTATCATCTCGCCTGGGAGTCTGAGGATTGGGCAGCATCCGATATCTTGTTTGACGGTATTGCGAATACGAAGAAGAATAGCTGGAAGGCGTTCAGACCAACGGGCATCAGGCGAACTAGCTGTAATGGCAGCTTTCAGATGTCGTTGAAATCATTCGACAAGGCCATTGGCAGCAGGATGATAGACAGTCGTCTGAAAATGAGTACAACCGAGCAATCGACTCAAGTCACGGAAAATGGTGGCACTGAACTGAGAGCTTCTGTCAGTAGTGACAGTGGCTGGTACACCGAAGAATGAAATCACGATACAACGAAAGCACGAGCAACGGTTTCAGAGGATATATCACGTAATTGCATGGGGAAAACGAGTAAAGCGATCAATACAAGTCAACAGATAAGTGCAACCGTTAGAAGCTGGTAACTACATGAAGGTGAATGTGTTTTAAACGGGCTTCGGAGAGTGAAAAAGTACCAGGAGTGTTGAATACTGCCTCATTTTTATATCACGAAACGGTGATAAAGGGGGGGTTTTCCCTTGGAAGGGTTTGCTTATGCAAACCATGGAAACAAGAAACATGGTTTTATGTAAATATGCAAAGTCCGTAAACTGAGCACAAATGTTGGAAGTTTGGCGAGAGTTGTCCGGAAAAATAAATGTTGCTTGGATACAACAATGCGTGTTTGGTTGGAAACAAGACTGTTTCTGGATACAAAGGCTAAACAATGTGAAATGTTTCACGAGTTGGAAGGCTGATTGAACGTGTGCGTTTTGTCTGATCCGAGTACATGTGCACTTGTGTGAATCGGGTTTTCAGCCTTCCGTAATTTAGCCTGTAATAATAATAGGGACGTTGGGTCCCCATACTAAGGAGTTGTAACAGTGTGTCTGTGAACCTTGCTGGTTTGACAACTTAGACAGGTTTTGGCCCATGGTCGGATGTCTGTGCGCATATTGGGTCAGATGTAACGGTCGATGATTAGCTTCACAGTAGATCGAATACTGGGGTGCGATAATCCATGAAGACGATCAAAAACCACTCGCCGGTAGGACTGCAACAAACGGTCTAGGTTTACCGGTGGAAATATCGCAGTAGATTCTTGCGTCAGAACTGAGCACGGGCACTTGCAACAGTTTTAACGAAGTGTTCGATCGAAGCTGTGTTAAGTCTGGGTCACTGGCTTGGACAACAGACATTTCCTTTAGATCGCTTGACGAGCGTGGAAACTGATGGATGTGAGCACAGGGTAGTGCGTCAGCAACAAGGTTGTTAGGACCATCAATATGTCGAATATCAACACAAAAGTGGGAAAGATAGGCAATGCGTCGAATCTCTCTAGGGGAGTAACGGTTAGAAGTGGAACGAAAGCATACACAAGGGGCTTATGATCTGTCTAGGTGACAAAACGTCGAACCTCAAGAATGTGACGAAAATGCTTTACAGCCAGGTGCATGGCAAGGAGCTCTCGACCAAACGTACTGTACCTGGTCTGGGCAGGTTGTAGCTTCCTTGATAAGAAAGACAAGGGTTGAATTTCGTTACCCACGAGCTGCTGAAATACGGCAGCAATGGCGGATTGTGCAGCGTCTATCTTGAGAAGGAAAGTGATGTTATCGTTTGTTCTCAAGTAATCAACTGAACTAGCTTGGTTCAGCTTTTGCTTGACTACGTTAAACGCTGCTTCTACTTCTGGAGTGAACGTGAACTTTCTGGGGTTGCTTTTGAGTGAAGCAGTTAAAGGTTGAAGGATTGCAGCGCAGCCATGCATAAACCGTCCTTAATAGTTAACCATGCCAAGGAAACGGCTCAGGCTCTTATTAGATTGTGGCGATGAATGATCCAGTCTGGCTTGCGTTTTATAAGTCAAGGGGCGAATTCCTTTAGCGTCAATTCTGTGACTTAGGAAGTCGATGGAAGGTTGGCCAGATATGCATTTGTCTAGGTTACTGGTGATACCGTGATGTTCGAAATGTCCGAAAAGTTTTCGTATATGTGTTAAGTGTTCGTCGGCAAAAGTACTTGCAACTAAAACGTCATCAGTGTAAACAAATGCAAAGTCGAGACCCCGGAGAACTTGGTCCATGAAGCGTTGGAAAGATTGCGCGGCACTTCAGAGACCGAATGACATACGGAGAAACTCGTACAAACCAAAAGGGGTGGTCACTGCCGTTTCTTCAATATCTTCCGGGGCCATTGGAATTTAGTCATACGTCCTAACAAGATCAATCCTAGAAAATATCGACTTCCTGACCAATCCTAACGAAAAGTCATGTATATGCAGGATCGGGTATCTGTCGGGAACTGCTGTATTTTCAGTGCTCTATAGTCGCTATATAGACGCCAATCACCGATCATTTTGAGCACAATAGGTGCAGTGGAGGTGACCAACAACTGTTTGAAGGACGAATGGTCCCGAGCCTGCGTCTGTGCTCGAACTCTTTCTTAGCGGCCTGTAGTTTATCAGGTGTAAGTGGTCGTGGTTTCGCCATCACGGGTGGACCAGTTGTGATGATGTGATGTTGCACGTCGTGCTTGGCTTCCTCCACGTCATTATTTACTCGGACAAGTAATATAAAATCCTGCAACCATGCGGAATACTGCGAACGAACCGGTTTGAAGACTCGAAGCCCGACAGAATTAACTGAAGTAAGCTTGCTGGAAGCACTTAACGAAGTGGTATCACCATGTAACTTCCCACAACTTAGGTCTACTAAAAGGCCAAATTTGCTAAGAAAATCGGTACCGATGATAGGCTTTTGTACATCGGCAATTGTAAAAATGAAAGGAAAGCTACGTCATAGTCCAAGACAGCGTGAGAAGTTTCTGGTCCTAAGTCGCGATCTTCGTTTGCTTAGCAGCCTGTAGCGTCATTCCAGCCGGGGCCTGCCCTGTCGGATGAGGTAGTGTGTTTTAAGATAGCTGCTTTATGTTTGTCATAAGATGAGTCATTCGGCGTAAGGTCAAGAATATCGATGACTTCTGAAGCCACATGTGTAGGTAAATGGTCAGTAACATATGAAAACATCGTAGACTGCGAGGAAACGAAAGATAGATTCCACTTAGATTAACCAGACACGTGGGTTTGACACATCGAAGGATGGCAAGGAAAATGAAACGGAGTTTTCAGATAACTGTTCACAAAATGGTTGAGCAAACATAAAGAAAAAATAATGTGTTCCCAAAATATACGGGGTCACCAATTAATGTAAAAGACCGTTACCTCATAAATTCGAGCGCGGAGGCAAAGACAATCTTAGGCAACAGCTTAAAATAGAGGAACAACCAAGCACATTTGCGTTCTGGTTTTTTCTTCAGTCAATGTTATTCCGATGTCGGCTAGCGATTCGAAAGTATCAATTCGACTAATGGAAAGATGTGGCAGCAGTAAACAAAACCAGAACGACGCAAGTGCGTTGAACTTGTATTCAAAATTTGTGCAAATGGTCCAAAATGTTCGGTAACGGAAGTGGTAAAAACAAAAATAAAATAGTGTAATCACAACCGCTTCACTATCTCTGTATGATAAGGTAGGTTCCCGAACTCAATCCATTTCTTGCAAAAAAGACAAACAGGTGGTGATTTAGACCTTTGGCTCTGATATAGTTGACGGTTTGTGTAATAGGGCTCATTACATGTTCAAGACTTTGCCACACAGCGATCCTTGGTGTATGATACGGTAATATGTTATCAACACACCAGCACAGATCTCCCACCTCTTTAACCGCATCCTTTTAACTAGTCCACTTATTTCGCCACACATTGTCAGTACTCGAACTGTTGTCGGTCCAATAGGTTTGTCCAAAACAGGTTCATGTCAGTTACACTTTGGCAGACGGTATCAAAAATGTCCTTTCCTGTCGTTCTATGCATGGATTTTATGTACAGTGTTTCTTCTGTCACATTAAAAGTAGAGTCCACTCCGCGGATGAAGATTGCGAGCTGTGCGGGGTTAGTCATGTCACTACTTACATCGACAGCAATGGAATACGCAACAAAGTCTTTGCCTTTCTCGATCAGCCATGTTTTGACATCAGTGGCCATCTCACAAATACGATCAGCAACCGTGTTTCTGCTGAGGCTGAAATTTCCAAACATCATTTTATCTGGACACGACGTCATACCATTTCATTATGCAGTTTTTCAAAAACTCCCTCAGTAAATGGTCTATGTGATTTGCCGATCTCCTCTCCCACAATAAAACTTGCTTTCACAGCACCTTCACTCTGTGGTTGTGCTTTGGTGAACAACGCCTATGATGAGATATTCCTCTTCTACCTGTACCTTCTGATCTGCATTCAGGTTTCTAAACTTGTCCTGATGTTTAGTCTCATAGTGCTTTTTCATATTATATTCCTTCATCACAGACACATGATCTCCGTAAGTTAGACACACAGGTTTACCGTCAATATCAGTAAACATATATTCAACATCTCAGAGGCTTTGAAAGCTTCTATTGACGCAACCAACCTTTCTCTTGCTCATTGCATGCAAGTATCTGTAACGAACGGATTAAAAAAGAAACGATTACTATCAATCATTACAATGCGTCAACACATAGTGATAGACATATCAACGGACAGCATTAGCATCATCTAATAATATATGTAGCACACAGCGCATAACAACTGATTTAATAGTAGCAGAGATGACATCGATATAGCATACAGTAAAATGCCACAACACGGTGCTAATTACATAACATTAATTACATAAGACAGCAAGCCGCAATTGTAGGCTTTGTTAGGTTAGCAACAATTGCGTGACAAAAACGCTCAACACGAGTGTATCATCGACCATTGTTTCAACATTAAAAAGGCATGTGAGCAGCGTTTGATAAATTACGCAACCGTTACCATGTGCGGATATCGGCACAGTGGTCTGGAATGCGCAGTGCGTCGTCACGTTTGGCGAATTGGGTGAAGGCAGTCGTCTGGTGGAGTGGTATCGCCGAGGTCATTTGTGGCCACACAATGTACGGGAGATGGAGATGTGGAGAAATTGCACACGCAAAAATACCCACAGACAACGCGCATGACTTGGCTTCAGGTATCAGAGGACGATGAATGTATAGAAATGTTCACACAATGAAAACGGTCGATAACAACCGTAGTGCCCAGGAGAATACAACGTGCATGACGAGTGCCGATAGTTGTGCGGGTTGAATACTCACAGGCGCGTGCACACACAGAGAATAGGACCTTGCGTCAGACGTGAGCAATGGTAGGATACAAAGAATTCTCGATCAGGAGAATTTTTGTGCAGTTACTCAACTTACACTCAGCCTAGAAAACCTTCCTGCAGACACCCACGGCAGTGGTAGCAACAGTCAAAGATATAATGCAGTTCAGATAGGATTTTGTAATGCCGGGCTATTGACAATAGCTTTGTCTAAAACCTATCGCGGGCCAGATATAATTGTACGGCGGGCCACGTGTTTGACACATGTACCCAAAGCAAACCTTCAGGGTCAAGACGCCTGCACGTTGTCAACAACACACCATCACAAACAGCTGGCTATCGTACAAGCTAAGGCGGCATCGGCGAGACAGCTTTCTTTCGGCTTTCACTGCCCCGCGTCATAATCAGCCATTACCCCGCAGATAACTCGGCACCAAACACACGTTACACATGCAATACGATTAGGAGACGGCAGCAGACGCGCCACTGGTGTCAGTTGCGAGCCGTGTCCTATAAAGTCTCGAGCCAAGCACAAGACGAGTCACGTGGACTTCAGCCCGAAAGGCGAGACGGACCAACGGTACCCTGTTTGGTCGTCAGTGACTTCATTACCCGCTGCCAAGTGGATTTCTGTCCACCTCGAGCCCTGCGCCACCCTACACCTGACAGACTAAACAAGGCCCTCCTAGGTAAGTGGTGACCAAGCATAGGTATTTCGTGCCCGAGTCAACACAACTTATTCAGTGCTATCTGTTGTTCTAGGGAGCTAGCATGATTATAACCACCTAGTACTCGCCTACGCACATCATCGTTGCGGACAAGTTGGTGCCACCCAACAACAGCAATGCTTCGCAGACAACGATGATCAAAGACTTGAAGGCGCCTCAGATCTTCAGACTAAAGGGACCAAGTCTCACTCCCATAGAGCAAGATGGCACTTACTGTGGCCTTGCATACACGGTCTTTCAGAAGGAGAGAACCTCCTGTCTGCCGCAAAAGATGCTGCAGGTTCAAGAAGGCACTTCTGGCTTTCGCAATGCGTGAATCAACTTCAGTTTCTATATGCCCATCGTTGCTGATGCAGCTGCCAAAGTAAGTGAATCGATCAACCACCTCGAGTTCCTCGTTGTCAAGGGGTCGTCAAGCAGCTGGTGGTACTGCAGCAACACTGAAGGTGCGAAGCGCATGCCAAATAATGAGACCACTCTAAACAGGCTATTTAGGGTTGACAGTGTCGCTTCAACATCGTCCGCATATTCAAGGTCAACTAGCATTGTTACCAGGCAGCACTTCAATGTTTACATCGTGGGAATCCGCAAGGGAACACTCCATGATGCGGTCCACGACAGAATTGAACAAAAACAGGGAAATCGGACAACAACGGCGAACGCCACTTGTTGTCAGAAGGCTATCAGACAGGTCACCGTAGACCCTGAGGCGGCCTGTGATGTTCGAGTACGAAGCACGTGAGATGTTCACATATTTCGTGGGAACACCATGCCGCGCGAGTGTTTCGCACAGAATGCATCGATCGACTGAATCGAGCGCACTCATGAAATCGAGGAACACAGCTACTGTCGGTCTGCGGTATGCGTGGCACTGCTGTAACACCTGCCGCAGTGAATATAAGGTTGTAGCGATTGTAAATAATTTGCTTATTTTTTTATTTGCACGCTTACCTATTTCGCTGCAGTTGTACAATTTTGTTTTAATTAACTAGATATACATAACGATTGGTTTCTAGTTTGTCTACCGTTGTTCTCCCTCGGTTGCCACTGAGTTGTTGTGATTGTGCGCATCGCTGCGTGCTCGATTCACCATCGGAATCTACGTACACGTACCCTTCGGCATACCTCGCGATCTACGGTCGTTTGACGCTAAGGCACATAAGGATATTTTATATCTGAGGTAAACCTGACTGACTGGGTATTCTCCTTTACCGGTTCCTCCATACGGTTTATACAGCCCCGTCCTGGGTGGAAATCTGCCTGCTCTTCTCTACTCCGAGATTCCCGTTCCACAGTGAGGCGACGAACGAGAATGGAGGCCAGTAATTTTGTCACTACGAGCGTTAGGCTAATACCCCTTTGGTTTGCACAGTCTGTGTGACTGCCCTTCTTGTATATTGCCACTATACTCGATTCATTCCAGTTAGCCAGGTGCACTCTCTTCCTTCCAGATATGTTCGAACAGGGAGGTCAGTGCTTTGTAGAGGATCTCGTCTCAACGCTTAAATAGTTCAGTTGGGAGGGAATCCGGGTCAGCAGCACGAAAACGATTGAGAGCTGTGATCGCGATTCGGACCTCAGCCTCCGATGGAGCTTCTAAACTAACCGTCCATGGCTCGTCCTGCACCAACTGAATAGGCAGAGGTCCGGAAGCAGGGGGCCAAACGGGATGATCATGAAAGTGTTCCGCCCAACGAGCCCAAAGGCGCCCTTTATTGTGTATCAGTGCACCTGCGCTCTCTCTGTTTGTCTTACTGACGCCTGGTTTCCTGAGACCAGTGGTGCGGATCAGCTGGAAGAGCTTGTGGTAATTGCTTACTGCTGCTGCCTCCGCCATTTCTTGAGCCCGACTGTTCCATCAGGCTTCCTTGTCAGCATGAAGGCTCCGCTTTATTTAGCGTCTAATAGTCCGTCTTGTCACATTTTGCTCAGCCAGCCGGGAGGTCTCTACTGAATTCCAACAGGTTCACCGACGGATATGCAGTGATTGGTGCTTTGACCATTGATAGTGCCACAAGCAAATGCTCACGAGTCGTGCATGGCGGCCGGGATCCTATTTCACTGAAGCTCACTGTCATTAGGACAAGAGAGCGAAAGTTCGGTACGCAGTGCGTCTTGATAGGTTTGCCTGACCGAGTGTTGAGATAACTTCTCAGTTGTCAATCGGAGAAGACGCTTGGTGCGCCTCCCTGCAAAGTTCATGTAGAAACGACAGCGTACCAAGACATGAACAGAGTCGGCGTAAGTATTCCAGAATGAGCGGCAATCCAGGATGGAATCACGCCACCTGTAACTTGTGGCAATGTGGTCAATTTAGGTTCATCGCTGGCCAGCTACACGTGGACGCCAAGTGGTACTTCGGAGACAATTGTTTCTGAAAACAGTGTTACTGAAAAGACTAGCGCTCCGCACACAGTTGCAGCAGACGCTCGCCGTTGTCAGTCCACTCGGCGTTAAGCATATACTTATCACCTAGCTGAGCTTCAGAAGAGCTCAGACGCCCTATTTGCGCATTCATATCCCCTGAAAGTACTACATTATATCTGAACCAGTAGCACTGCTTGGTAGCGCGCTCAGTTCGCGGTAGAATGTGTCCTTGGCGGCATCAGAACTGTAGTCGGTGGGAGCGTAAGCAGTAACCACCAACAAATAGCTCCTTGTACTAGTTCGTTTATCAACCTTGCTCGATGTCGTCAAACGAGCTGTTCACCGGAATCTGATCAACCAACGATGACTCATCTTTGGAGGTAAGTTCAATGCTCGCCCCAGCTTGACGAGAGGGTGTCCCATCAGTGTCTCCGGATGCGTGCAACCAATAACAAGAGGATCAACCCGATACATTTAAGTCAACAACTCCATAAGAGTTTCGGATGCGCAACACACGTCAATACCCAGCGTGTTTAACGTGCGTGCGAGTACAGCCCGTTGACCTATTTGTCTTAGAGTGCGAATATTGAACGCCTCCATGGAAATGGGACAGTGTGGCCTTATAAGGGACTGTTGCCGCTTGGCATCCAGAGGGTCGTGCGGGAATGTAGCTGCAGAAGTTTCGACTCCAGTGTCATTATGTCTGCCGTCAGTTGAGCTGTAAACTATAGAATAAAGGTTGGTAATGAGAATTGGGAGGGGAGTAAGAGAAACAAGCGGAAATGAAAGAAGGGAGACGCCAGCAGTATCATGCTTTCGTTTATCCTCCCTGCTGTATGCAGCAGATAAGGCGACACTTGATGAGCTGTGCGACGGCCGATGCAGTATGTTATTAGCGTTTGAGGAAATAATCATGGTTTTATGTGGGGTGAGATGCTGTCGGTACGCCCAGGCGCAGACAATAGGACGATCAGGGTCCTCAATCAAAGCCTTTGGCTGAAAAGTCTGTCCTCAAGGCTGCGGGGAAGTGACAGTGATATAATTTCACAGAACTAGACACCATTCCATTTCAAATCCCCAACCTGGAAGACCATGAGACAGTTTG